ATTTCTTAGACATGTGTGAGCAGCACGTGGGAGAGGAGCTTTGTCATTATCATCTCCCAGAATAGTCCCCCATTTCAGATCCTCTAACTGGGCCTGAGCGTGTGTCTGCCCCCCTCCCTGCAGCACCTTGTCCGTTTTCCAATGTACGGGTGAGGCTGTGGTCAGACATACCGTTCTGGCTGCTGTTGAGTGCTATGAAAAGGTTGCTGTGACTCAGCTCTGCGTCACTGCTCCCAGCCTCCTGAAGATGGTAGTCCCCTCGCAAGGCTGTATGATATGACACTTTCAGAAAGACCTAAGTGAACGTATTTGATAGTGAGGAAATGCATTTACGTGCGGTTTTGCTGTCAGACTGGAGGAGCAGTGATAAACAGCTGGGTTTGAGATGGTGAGCTTTGAATGTGCTATGCAAGATACTGAAGTGAAACCAGTCTAATTATGTCTGTTACCTAGTTGTTAGATAAGCAAGGGGGGAAACTGGATTTCTGTTTACTGGTAATTACAAAACTGTGGAGAGCTTAGTGTATTAGGGCTGTGCTATATTTAAATAGTACCCTGTCTGTCCGATGTCCCTATTACAAAATGTTCTTTGCCAAGATCATGGGTTGAGCCTCTCCTTTTAAAAGCTGTTTTTGAAACTCTGGATTGTTTTGAGAAAATTGGTTAATATGCCATGGCTGTGTCATCTGTCTTCATTTTGTGCTGTTAAGTCATTCCAACACCATTTTAAAGGTGTTGTGGACAGCTGTGGGAAATGCCATTTCACCACTTGTGGAGTAGAATTACTGCATTTCTGAAAGATGAAACTATAATTAATGCAGCAAATACTCTTCTCCAGTCTCTCACCCTGTGTGTTGCGCACACTTACTGCTATCTTTAATTAGGAGACTGTCACAGGTGAATTAAAAATAACAATTCAGAACAAAACCTCCTGTGAACTAGACCAGCCATATTGACAGCTGGGAGACTTAAAGGCTTTCCTTATCCCCAGAGCAGCTGGAGCCCTGACAATGAACATACCAGCACCCTCGTGCTACTCCGGCGGCGTCCCGCAGACAGGGCTGGAAGAAGCATTCCCCCACTGGTGTTGAGTGTGCTGAGACTTCTGCCCATGTGAGTTTTGGGCCAGGTTTACCACCAAGAGGTTCACTTAGTGATGGGGGTTTCTTGCAAGTGTCTTGTCTAGTTGTCAGCCAGATGGACAATAGCAAACTCACTTCATGCAGTCCACGTCAAGAGCTCTAAAATGTCACGGTTTTGCTCATGTCTGATTGGGACTGAGTTGAAATCCTAGGGTTAGAGAGAGCTGCTTCCTACGTTAATAGACCCTTTAATTAGCAGGCTGCGCAGTAAGACCTATCTTCTTGTTAAGGATTTGTTAAAATCATGCATAAGCTCCTCTACTGGAATATGCTAATTTATTTGTGAATCTCTTGGATTATTTGGCAGAGGAGTTGAATATTCCTCACAAGGACAGCCTTTACAGACTGTTTCCTTGAAATAAATTTTTAAAAATCCTGACCTTTTTGTTGCTTGTTGTCTTTGAGATAAACACTCAAAAAAACAGCTGTAATTTTGGCTAGAATATTGATGGGTTGCTTGCTTGTCAAATTAAAAATGAGCTGGAGTGGACTGTTCTGGAATACATTTCAATTTTAGAACTTTCCACTTTCAAGAGCGACCTTATTCAGTGCCCAAATGGGCACCTTTCCTCTGCACGAACACCTCATTATGTGTGTTGAAATAGACATCGCCTCTGCTTTTTCAAATTCATTTTTTTTTTAGTGGTGTTTTCCCTTTTTTTAAACTTCCACAAAATATGGCTACAGTTCCTGGCTAATTTTGCTGAAACATGACACTAGCCAAATATTTTTGTGAAAGAATTATTAGTCACATAAGGAAGAATGTAATGGAATATTCTTAGAAAGTGTTATAACTATGCTTGACATGTAAAATATTTATCCAGACATGTAAACAAAGCAAGGGGTGTCTTGCCAATGTACCATCATAAACGTTAGTTATTTTGAAATCTTGAGCAAGATGTTTTTCAGTTCTTGAAAATAAGGTATCAAGTTCTCTGCTGACATAAATTGACAGAGTGCTAATGGTTGGCTTTACCTAGCTGAAATTTTAGCCCCTGCTCTTGCCTCCCTAAAAATAAATCAAGATGTGTTTTCCTGAAGAGCTGCAATTGTGCTAAATAAAACTCTTCTGTTTATTTTGGTTTTGGATTACTTTAGTATTGCTTGCAGAGTTTACTAATGCGGCCGCACTCCAAAAGGTCGACCTTATGTTTGTTTTCCTTTTTGTTATTGTCTGTATCTTAATGTGAATTAAACAATTTGCTTGATGCAGAGAACTCCGTTGTTTATACAGACGGCGCTGATAGTCTTCACTTTGCTTGTGCCCCTGTTCGTAAGGGGGATCTCAGCCCTTCGGCAGGACGGTACAGCTGTAGCTGCCATGGCTTTATCTGAACTGGTTTCCAGCAACTTGCCCTGCTGACTGTTGTGTGAGGTGTGGCAATGCTTCGTGGGGATGCCAGATAATTTACCCTGGCCGGGATCCCGTGCCAGCCTGTCTCATACCAAAGTTAGGTAAAGATCTCCTGTGCTGGGTTATGACACTTGAGTTTTGCCAAGCCTGGTTCTGCTCTTCCACACTGGACACAACCCGCTGCTGGACCTTTAACCAGCGCCAGCAGTGCCTGGCACTGCGCTGCAGGTAGAGGGGCTGGCTTGCTATGCCGTGCCCCCTTCCCATTCCCGTCCCCCCTGTACAGCCCTCCTGCAGGCCCTGAAACACAGGCAGAGGTGTACAGGTGGATCAGAGCATATTCAGGTACATCAGTAAGCACTGACCTCCTGACTGAGATGAACCACTTTTTCAAGATTGGAATATTTACTTTCAAATTTAATTGCATTTCATTAAACAGAATGCAGCTTCCCTGTTTGGGTTTTGGGTTTGTTTTTTTTTTTTTTGGACGCTTTATGCTCTGTTATTCTGAAATCTTTGGTGGATAGCTAGTGTAACTGCATTCAACTTTCAAAAATCTGCCATCTATTGTTAGTTTTTCAAGCTGCTGCCCTGTAATTGGTTAAAAATGAATGGCAGTTGGAGTTGTAGCCGCAGAGCTGGGAATGAGTGAGCAGTTACTTGTTGGGATCCCTTCCAGAGAAGGAAGGTGGAGTTTTAAGCTGCTCGCAGCCTTTCTAAAATAAGAGTCAAAGCAAGTAGGTGCTTTTTGCTGTGGGTGAAACATCAACTAACTTTTTGTAGGAAACCAAAAGCTCAGTAAGTGAGGAGAGGAATTTTGTTTTAGTCTGAATATTCTCTCTACTGACACTCTGCTGTAAAGTAATCCACTCATATTAAAACTGTTGTGTATTTCAAAATACACTCATTAATACACCAGTTCTCATCTCACGAGGATCCACGCTGGACAGTTGCTATACTAAAAGCAAATAGGGTAATTTATTTAGCCTTTATGGTGCTGCAGGCTGGGTGTTGGTGTTGGGACCCTGCATTGCAGGCCAAAATTGCAGGTGGTGGTGGTAACAGCTCCAAGTACTGGGCTTCAGACACTGCAGTTTCTGGCTCTCCGAAGGCCACTGTGGTGAAGGAGACAGGAGGGGTTTATGGTGTGTTCAGCCCCTCAAGTGTGAGCTGAAGGGTTCATTTGTACCCTGCTGTCTCCTCCTTGCTGATTTTGGGGGTCAGTGCTCTACTGCATGCTTTGAAAGTGCAACAGCCTGCCTTGATCTTGAGCATCGTGTGCCCTGTGTGGATTTTCATAGTCCTGAATGCTGGCAGCCTGCCTCACTTTGTGTGGGACAATATCCTTGGTGTTTAGGGGCTGTTGCTCTTTCTTTACATTCCATCCAACCTCTTTAACAGGCTACAGGTGCTTTATTGCACCTGTATCTAAAAAGTTGAAATAACTGGCCATTAAAGAATTAAAAGCTTGGCCCTATACCAAAAGTAATAACACGTGCTAGCAATATGCTGTATGTATGTACAGTACAAACATGAGTTAGTAAATTAGTGACAAGTTGGTTTTATTATGTTGGATTGTTTGGTTTGTTTTTAAGAAAGATACCTCTTAAAGCATCTTTCATTAATCTATTCAGGTGCTATGTACTGTTCAGACTTTACAACTTGTCAGTACAGACATATGCTTTATCACTGGCATGAGTCAGGATGAGGACAATTTCCCACTTCAGGTTCTATTTGCATTAAAAATGATATATTATTGATGATATGTGATATATTGAATTCTGTTGCTCTGTGAAATGGTATTTGGAGCAGTCTCTGAGCAATCCAGGTATATCTTAGGGGAAAGCATTAAGAACAATGGAATGGATTGATTTAGTATTTGAATTGATAGAGGATAACATTTCCCGGTGACATAAATGGGTAATGCCTCTGCAATGCTGTGCATGGGCACCTGAGCACTGAGGGAAGGTGGTACTTCTTATTGGGGCTCATTAGCAATGCATCGTGTGGGCATGGACGTATCAAAATAACTTGTTTTATCCTCAGTTACTGTAAATTTGTTTGGGACCAAATCCAGGCTCTTCTGGACTTGGGAATATGTGTGCATATGATTAGGTACATATTCAGAATTTCTGGTAGTTAATTCCTTTCTGGCTGCGTAAGGGATGTGTGGCAGATGAGTGGCAGGAGTGTATTGAACCATATGGCATCAAGGGTTTAATAAAACTGTGCCTTTTCTTCCACACAGTTCCTGCAAAAAGAGGCTGAACCAGGAATCTGGGGAGAGAGATTGGGGGGCGGGGGGGGCTTTTGCTGAAAAGAAATGGCTTAAAACAAAGCTATTGATTACAATACAGATTTTTATATTCAAACTTTTCATGAATCAGCTGGGTGGGGAGGGAAGGAGGACTTTTAAACTGAAATATTTACATGAATCAGCCATCTGGGCTTGGGGGGAGTGACCATTGCTGCACAAACAGTTTAAACTCTGAAGCCTTGCTGTGACTTAGTGCTTCCCTCTATTAAAGAAGGATCGCAGGATATTGGTGCGGGTAGCACTGAGAACATATGAGCCGCCAGTAAGTAAGGAGCTGTGGTGTTTGGGAGAGGGTGCTTGGCAGAGGGGTTTGCTCCAGAGTTACAATAGGAAAAACGAGTGATTATTTCTGTTCAGAAGTTCTGATGGCTGCAGGTATATCGGACTTGGGGTTAGAGCTTTCTCAGAAATACGGTTGTCCTTGTGCTTTTTCATGTAGCTTATAAGTGAGAAGCTTAACTTCATGTAGTTTAGATGTAGGTATTGAAGTTGTGTGAATTAGAAACCAACCTAGATTTAACTGCCCAAAAAAAAAAATTGAGCAAGAAAAGAGCATTTTAAAATCTGAAGGGATAAGGTAGATCTTGCTTTTATGCTTTGTTGAAACTTTTTTTTTGAGAGCTTTGTAAGTAATTTTGCAGAAAATGGTAGAACAGAGGGCAAAACTCTTTTCTGCTGGTGTTGCTCCTGTTGCGGATTTTTACATAAGTATTTGTAGCTTAATCTAACACAGGTGAAGACAGAGTGTAACTCATAGGTGTCACCTGGCTTAATAAAACTATTTGACTCAGTATTCTGTATTTTAGCAGGGGAACATTTGTTTTTCCTGTCTCTGGAGAAGAATATCCTGCTTATATTTGCAACAGCTCATCTTTTGCCAGAGGTTTTTCTTCTTCCCTAGATCAGATCTGCATACTCCATCCTTCTGCCTAGAAAGGAGGTATATATTCTATATGGGCATGGCTGGCTTTATTTAAATTGCTGACTGAATTTAATCAGATAGCACTAGCAAAGCTGCCATTAGTATAGTGTTAAGAAGCTGTTTATGAGGATCAATATAAGAACTGTAATTTTTCAGATGACTGTGTTTAACCCAATAGTGTGAATAGTGGAAATAGCCTTTATAGGTTCCTTGGCTGTGCCCTGTAACACTAATACCTTGAGCCTTGCAGGGAGGGAAATAGCCCTAGCAAAGCAATAACCTGTTGCCTTATTCAGAAATTTTATTCCCTTCCGAGACACACAGTGGAAGGACATTATTGGATCCACTTCATCTATTCCAGTTGATGAGGTTGCCATGATATAACTTTCCTATTTTGGAAAAGCCTATAATAGGTTGCTTCAAGTTCATAAATCTCAATGAGAGATTATAGGTTGGCAAAAGAAATGGTGCTGTCGGTGTGGGGCACTGGTGTGGGTCAGTGCCATCAGCACCGATGTGAGCTTTCAGCCTGTAAACCAAGCGCTGGCAGTTACGGAGGACCTGGTGAACCGTGGGTCTTAAATCAAGGTGTGGATGTGCAGTATTTAAACCATCCGAACTATATTGCAGACTGTAGTTTTGAATTGCATTTGTAGAAACAGTGGATTTTTGTTAAGACTCAAGTAAGCGAGTAAGTCTGTAAACTTTGCTAACAGTGAAGCACTATGCACAGAATAGGAGAAAACAATCAAGCATTTCATCAGCCTTCTTGCTGTCTCTTGCCAGAATTTGTAGACTGTCCTGCATTGCATCAGTCCTGCTGGACGCTTTTTTTCTCTATATATTTCGAAGCCAGATGGAAGATGATTCCTCTGTATATTGATAGAGTTATTTCATAACAAGGGAAAAGCCTTTTGTAATGTGCCTGTGCTAGATCAACCTATAGATCAGCCTCTTATTGTCTGGTTATCTTTGTGTTTATAGCAGAAAAAGCAACGATCATTAGTAGGTATGAGAAAAGCACGTTAAAGGCTCCGAGTAGATTTTTCTATCTGATGCAGTTTGGGTGAATGTACTTTTATGTTGTTCTGCTGTGGTACAGCCATATCTACAGGTGCCAGGGAGTGACCAGTCTTAGACCTGCCAAGTCTCATGTCGCCTTGAGCATCCCTTGTTTAATTCGGCCGCACAGGGCAGTGCCTGGGACTCGGACCCTTGTGCTAGAAGGTACACTTGCCAAGGGCAGTCTGGTGACACCAGCTTCCCTGCTTATGTGAGCCTTCATGCATGGCCCTTCACCTTCTGGAAGAGGATAAAAACTGATCTCTTAGGCAAGTCTTATGTTTAGAAGAGAAGTAGTAATGAGGAACCAGATTTGTACTTGACAACTGGAAAAATGCTTTGTAAAAAAAAAAAAAGAACAAAAAACACCTGCTATGAGAATGAGAGACCCTCTGAATCTCTGAAGACTCTAGAATTTGGCCAAAAGCAGGGAGTAGGATTTAAAAGCAGGATGGGTCATTGCTTTAGAAGTGCCTTTCTTCTAATGTAAACTGTGCGATACTGACTCACTCGCTTTTATTTTTCAGTAGATAAAGAATCAGTAGGCTTGTCTTTACTGCAAGCAACTTGTAAAAGCAAAGGCAGCTTCTTGTGTTTTAAGCTTTAGACGAGTCTTATACAATTTACACTGAAGATGTGTTTTAATAGGCAGGTTTTATACTTATTTTGTCTTTTCCAGTTTCCTAATGGTGCTGTGTTTCCCTCCTACTGGGAATGCATAAGGGAACAAAGCAGAACATAAAGACGGGAAGCTCCGTCGAGGCTAGAGCCGGCACAGCCTGGCAGGGTTTTTTTTCCTGTGCCCTTCTGTGCTGTTTCCTTTCCATACTTCATACATTTTATTTGTTAAAATGTTCAGAGACTCCCAGGTTATAGGTGTGGGAATGAACGAAGCTGGGGCCAAAATTCCTAGGGTTTGACTCCAGTCTCATTCATGCAAATTCGAACCTGCTGTTTTCAGTGGATTTCCTTCATATTTACAGAATGAGACCCCAGATCTGTTCTCAGTCTTTAACACAGCCGAAAGTTTTACTTTTTGCCTCTCTTTCTAACGGTTGGATTACTCTCATTCTGCACAACTCTCTGGAATGCTTCCCTGTGACTGGGGAATTTTTATTGCCACTGAACTGAGCTGACAAGCAATATGGTTATTTTTCTCTTCATCCCTCTCTCCCAGAAAGTATGCATCTGATGATCAAAAGCAAAGAGTTTTTATGAAAATTAGGAAGTTGGATTGCTGCCTACTTGCCAATATGACATTTTTTTTCACAGCAAGTTTAATCGCTGCTGTTTTACTTAACCAAATTCTGAAATTACATAGGGTGCAGAAGAGCAGACCAACTGAGAGAAGATGAACGGAGTGCTGAGTACTACGTGAGAGAGGGCAGGTTTACAACTCGGCGTGGTACAGAACTGATAGAGCTAGGCTGCATCTGGCCTCCAACTGACAAATCCGCACGTTGTGTATAGCCCAGCGAAGCCTTGGCCAGTGGATCGCTCCTGGCCTGGGTGTCTCTGTGCTGCACTCCCCACTGTGGTTTAGACGTACCCTATACTGATTCGCTCATCTTTATGTACAGGAAATGCTTCTCATTATTTATCTTAAGCCCGTGAGATTTCTCTTTTTCTCTCCAGAGGAGGAATTCAATCGTTGCTAATTTGTTTTTCTGCTTTTATGTTTAGAGAAACTTTTGGCATGTTCCTAGGGTATCTTTTAAGAAATTAAAGGAAGGCTAAACTTTTTTGAAGGGCGTGCAATTATATTAGAAATACATCTTGTTCTAAAGTCGTAGACTGTAGAATTAGGTCAGGCACACCCTGCGTATGCGTGTTTCCTGCTTGCTCATATTTCTGAGAATAATTGTACATGGGAATGTTTTTGTAGATTTAAAGGAGTGTTGTCACCTTAAAAATTAGTTGTTTGGAGTTTTATTTAAGTCATCGTGGTTAAGCTGAGGTTTAGGAAGAGTGGAAATTTGCTAACCATCTGATTCACTCGCTCAATGTGCTGGTCGTTCGTTGCCATTTGCAAACTGAATGGTGAAGTAAGGTTACTCACTTCTACTATTTTTACTCTCTTACGACTTCCTCCTTGTCATGCCAGATGACAGTGAAGCAGTGCGTAAGCTGTCAGATGTTACAGTAAAGGGCTTTACTCTTCAATGGATTTTGACAGCTCAGCTTTTCATGATTTTTCTTTGAGGTTTCTGTGAAGTTCTGCAACCTTGATGCCTAAAATATTTTATAATGGCTCTTAAAAAAAAAAAAAATACCAACGGTAAGGATAAGGAACAAGTAAGTAATACAATAAAAAGTTAGAAACCAGCAAGTCTGTACTGATGCTTTTGTTATCTTTTGCTTAATAAGATGTCCTGCATCTAAATAGGTTTTCTCTGCTGGACATGTTACTGTATTTGAGTTTCTTTTCTTTGCACACATCACCTCTAATACTGTTTATGTTGGTCTGTACAAGTTAAACCATTCAGCTCCTTCCAGTAGCTGGGTGAGAGATGTGCCTCAGATTTGTTAGGGTGGGGAAGGATAATGTGCTGAACATCATCCCAGCCATTACATTCCAGTACACTTCCTTATTTCTTAAGAATTACACAGAACAAGGATCAGCCTCTGTATCTCTGCAAAAGGTTTGCAGCATGAATTGTTTGTGCCAAAGATGCATTGCTAAACAAAACTGTTTCCAGTTTGTGTTTTTAAAAAAAAAATTCAATATCGCTGCCATATTTTTCTCTCAACAAAAGTGTTGGCTCCAAACAAGTTCAAATAAAGATGACTTCACCGTGACCATCAGCACGTGGTTTGGAGAACAGAGATGCTTGTTCAGTTGCACAGCTCATTCTTAACATTGTCATGTTCTGGAGGGAGGAGGGACCTCCTCCAAGTTAGGCAAAACCAACGGCCACAGTCAGATGTGAATTTTGATTTTTGACTGTGATACTGATTTTTTTTTTTTTTTTAAAAAAAGGAAAACACCACAGGCTGTTTAGGAACTCTTTAGTGCTGAGTGTGACACTGAGCTTTTGATAATCATGAGTTCTCAGCTTCCAAAATCCAGCTGTCCACAAACTGTGAGTCTTCAGCTCCTCTGCAGACTGGTCCCTACCGGGTCCTTCAGGATCTGAGCATACAAACAAGTTACTGAGAAGTGAGCTAAGAAGTCAGGGTGCTCGTTTACTGCTTGTGATCAATTCTGTGGTACCAGCAAATTTATACTTGCCAGAGGGTAGAAACATGCATGCAAACAGCCCTCAAAAGAAGATGGTAACCTGCTAGTATTTGTCCTGCTAACCACGGGGTAATTGCTGGTGCATGGCCAGGGAGCTTGTGTGTGAACGTGCTAAAAGTCAGCGTAACACCTAGTTCGTTAGTGGGCCTCGTACGCCGGCTGGTCCTGAGGATTCTCTCTCTTTTCTGTGTCCCTGTTTTCTCTCATAAAAGACTGCCCTGTAGTACTTCCCAGGGCTGTTAGGAGGAATGAGCAGTTAATATTTGTAAAAAACTTTGAAGATGAATAGCCCTAATTATTATTTATAGGTATTCATTCTCACCATGGGTAATTCACCTTGATCCTGCGCATGAAAGGAAACCAGGACATTTGTAAGCTGGTCAGGCGTGAGTATGGCCTTCTGAAGTCTTCATGTATTAGTTTCCCTACTGGGTTGTATGCGTGATTGCAATATATTTGTCATGTTAAATGACTAGTTTGGGTATTTATTGTACCAACCAGATGTGCTGAAGGAATCCTTACTCATTTACCTCAATACTGCTGACACAAAATGTGTAGGATTTGGACATGCCAAGAGGAGACAGAAGACAAGAAAATGCCATTAGCCTGGCCCAAGTTGGATCATCAGCAGGGCTGAATGTTTGACTTTCCGTAGATTTAATGAGAAAAGTCAGATCTGATGCTTGTAAGAGCCACCACAGTTGCGAAGAGCATCTGTTTCTGCATCTTCCTGTCGCTGTAGTTTTTAGCACCTTTCACTGGTGCTAAACTTAGTCTAACAGAAAAGAATGAGGAGAAAGGTGTCAAACAGCTGGGACTTTTTTTCCTAAAAATCCTTTTTAGCAGTTGAAACAGAAAAAGGGAGGAAAATGATTAGGGAAAATTCATGTATTGTAGTTCCTGCGTATCTGATGATAGTGCTATAAATAGTTTCTGAGATATCATAATAGAGGACTCTGCTGAAAGGCATGCAGGGTCTCTTGAACTGTGCGTGCATTTAATTCAAAGCTTAAGGTGATGAACAAAGATTGTCATATTCATGAAACCCAATTTGATTGTTGTGAAAATTCAGCTTGTAGGCATTTTGTGCTATTTGACATCACTTAAATAGGACTTATAAGGCAGGCCTCTTGTGAAGTTATGAAATGTAAGTGTCCCTTGATAAAGCTGCTGTTTACCTGGATATACACTGCTTACTGATCTGAATCCCTCCCTAAATTCTCCTCTCTGCTAAGTGACATATTAAATAATCCAGACATTGTTCAGACAGTGCAAGGGGAGCTTATTGGCAGAACTGCAGCAGTGGAGCACTCTTGAAAGAGGCCTAAAAAGTAAATTTTATGCTTACCAAGTTTTCTTAATAGAGTTCTTGTCAGCTCACAGAGCAAATTCTGTTCCCAAGTGAGTGTGTTAGCATCTCAGTTTTATCAGGGAGCTTGTTTCAATGTAGAAAAGTTGGGGGGGGAAAAAGGGCTCCTGAGACCCAACTCAGTGGGTTGGTTGTGTTCCTCCCGACAATTAGCTAGTCTCAAGAACAACTCGTAAGGGCTTTCCCAAGATGATTACGTATCTACTCGACAAGGGTATTTGTTTCCCCATCTTAAAACACTTTTGCCTAAGTAAATCAAACTGCAGTTTTAAAAAATATGTTTTGGCTTTCTGTGCAGTTACCAAATTTTAAAGCATTTTGGTCAAAAAGCATAGCATAGTTACAATGTTTGGAATTCAGTGAATGTGTTTGAAGCCACAATCCTTAAATCGTTTAACATTTGCAGTCGGGAAAACTCCCTTTCCTCGCAGTAATTATAATAGACTATATGAAATAGGGGAATGATTGACTTTTTGTTCTTCCATTTGACATTGTCAATTCTGGAGTTGATTTAAAGTCGCCTTTTTTTTTTTTCCTTCCCCTCCAGGATGTTGTACAGTATGTGGATTTCCATATTTAAGTTTACTTTAAACAGTATTTTCTGCATATTCTGTATGCTTAGTCATTTATATAGATCATTCCTGGGATAGTAGGTTTTTCTGAAGTGGTATGAGTGGGGCAGTTGGTATGTTCTGCTGACGTACTGGGGGCTCCACACCCCCATGTCCCACTGCCCAGCAGCCCACCGGCCTTTCGTACCACCTCTTTGCTGGTCTGACACACGAGAGAACAGGGCAGAAGATTGCACGGGTTTATTCACAGGGAATTTGTGTTGCCTTTTGCTCAGGCAAAAGGGGATGGATTTGTTCACCTGTGACCAAATGCAAGGCAACATTCATGGGAACTGTTGGGTTTCTGGTGGGACTGATGAGGGGATCTCGCCAGGGTCCAGGAAAGCAGCCTGGAAAGTGTGGGGAGAGGGAGTTTTCGGAGCCAAGGTTGGGGGTTTGGTGAGAGGAGAGGTGGATAATGATGCACTGCGCACTGTTAAGTTTGCTGGAGCTAAGATGAGCCTCGTAGGCTCCTCACATTGCTCTTCCTACCAGCCAGAGCCTTTAGAAAAAGAAAAAATACAGTAGCTTTTCACATGGTTTTGCTGTTGCCAAAAATCTTCCTTCTGATGAATATCACATGATGCGTAAGCAACAGATTTTCTAAAAATACACAGATATAATAACGCTGGCAACTTAGGATTGGTTTTACGGAACGAGAGGAAGGAATTGTTATTCCTTGTTTAAATTTCTAATTAATAATGAAGTGCTTACACTGACTGCCAGTAGCGATGGGCTTGAAACCCACCGCTGAACTGCTCATTAAGGCCTTCATCCTCAGCAGGTCCTGACCAGAAAACTCGCCAACTCTTTATTTGGCATTTTGTTGTTTTATTAGTGCTGTATTTTATCTGGTTGGTATCTAGCCATGTCAGTGTTCTGCCATGCTTTATAGATGGCACCCGCGGGCTCTGGAGTCTTAATTCAGCCAGGAAAAAGACACAGGACAATTGTTCTGCAGGGGGGGAAATTGGGGAAATTCATTAATGAGGAAATTGGTGTCTTATGCTTGAGAGAGTGAAAGGAAAACACTTCAAGCCAAGAAGGGAGAGCTGTTTCTTGTCCAAGGCAATAGCAGGACAAAATAAATGCCAAAGA